ATGAAACATAAACCCTTCTAAACTCCCTCTGGGGCAAGAAACTGCTGCCAAGATCAGGGACGCGCTGAAGTCAGCAGTTAAAGTAAAGCAAGGCTTTAAATAGCGTAAACATCCATGGAGGCCTAAGTGATCCCTTGAGGAAGCAGATGGGATTTGCCCAAGCTGACATTGGGCTGAAGATGTTTTGCAGGGCTGTATTTCCAGACTGTGGCAATGGAGATGGCTCGGGAGACGTGCTTGTCCCTGGAGCACCACACTGCAAGGGGAGGCACAGCCCGTCCCTCTGCCTCTTCCCCGCAGAGGAGAATTTGTTCTGGGAAGAAGATGCGGTGTTGGCAGAGTCTGTTTCTCCTTACGCAGTGGATGTATGAAGGGAAGGAAAACGAGCAGTGGAGAGAGGGTCACAGCCATTAAATAGTCAGATATTTGAAGACAAGATTTGAGCAGAGAAAGTGAAAAGGTTTTTTTTCCAAAAGAAGCATGGGCACAGTTTGGGTTAGGCTGCACAGGAGAGGGTTATTGCAATTTTAATGCAATATTAGTGTCTCCTATAATCCATTAATCTACTCCGGAGCCAGTTGACTGTAGACAATAACGCACTGAAGTGTGGTGTCTGCAGCAGCAAGTCCAAAGTAGGACACAGCTTTTCCCTTCTTAATTCATTAGCAATGACTTTTTTTCTTTTTGGACAGGGTTTCTCCTCTTGGACAAATCACAAGGCTTCTGGGTGATTCACAGCGTGCCCCTATTCCCTCCCATCCCTGAGGACGGTTACGGGTATCCAGCTACTGGGGAGTTCTATGGACAGACAGCCATCTGTATAACCTTCAAATACGACCAGTTCACAGAAATAGGTATGGATGGCTTCTCCTTAAGAAAGCCTCTGCCTCAACCGCACCTCTCTGACTGCTTTCCTTGAGGCTTCGCCTACAAAACTGCTTGTTCTTGTCCTTCGTTGTCGGACTGGGAAACCAAATGGGACCTGGAAACAGCTGTCTTGGCTTCAGTTATGTTTATCCAATGATTTCCTCTGTCAATGTGGGAAATTCTTTCTTCCGCTCTGTCTCCATCTCCCCATGGGGACTATTGGGATAATAATAGTCACAAGTGTGTATTGAGGGTAAACTCAGTCCATGCATCCAAAATGCTTTGGACATACAAAGTGAGATGTTTATTCATTTTAGTAGTAAAAGCTGGTTCAGCTGCAGTTATTTGCCGTTCTAAACATGCAAGGCAACCACTGCTTGAGCTGGAGGAGTAGCCTTAACACATCAGAAATACGAAGTATAGAATAAAGATCACACAGAATTTCCCCGGGTACTTTCTGCCACATAAACACCAATACTAAACACCAGCCCCCCCCCCCCCCCACAGCCA